CTGCTCGGCCGAGGCGCGTTTGGAGGAAGTAGCAGCGTCTCCATTTTCCAGTGCTGCAGCCGGCAAGGCCCTCTGCATCCCACTGTATTGCTGGAAAATGCCAGAGTTCTGTATTTCGGATGCGCCGCTAACTCCCTTATGCATGGCAAGATCCAGATGCAGAGTTCAGGCATTAAACTGCAAACTGATCTCCTTAGGAAACAGCAGCCTCGCTCCCTTGCTGGGCAGCCTCAGGCATGCAATAGCATCCTGTCTTGTCCTGGAGCCTGCTTTTGGTTGAGGTGGTCTGAATAAGCTCGGATAACACAAGTGTGGCCTGGGAGAGGCGTGTCCAGGGCACCCTGAGGTGCCTTCTTCAGGTATTCGCAGACTGAAGAGCTAAGCCCTGCTGAGCTAGTTTCTGTGCATCACTCTTCCTTGTTGTACAGTCTCAAATTAGAGTTATGGACTGCTACCTGTGCCCGTGTTTCAGGATAAAAATATTCTGGTCCTCCAGTTGAAACCTTATTCAAGAAGTAATGGAGTCCTTGGCTATTTCCAGGGACATGCAATGTGCCCTAACAATACTGTTGTGGATTCCACCCAGTGCATGACTGATAAATCATCAGTGTAATGCATCAGTGCCTTGCATGACTGATAAAATTCAGAGAAGAAAATTCTGACACCTTATCCTCAGCTTTGAAAATACCTGTGATTAAATTCTGCGTGAGAGAACGCCAGCATTAAGCCATTTAACGCAAAGCTAGGAGCTAAACAGTTCTATTTTACCATGCTCAGACCACCTTCCATCTTTAAAGCCTTATGCCAACCTTCCTTTGGCCTCTGTGTAGACCAAGAGCTTGCCTGGTGTTGCTCCATGACCTTCGGAGCCCACCTGAGACAGCTGGCTGACTGCCCACCTCTGTTACTCTTAATAGAATGACCATTCCGGTTTGTTGTCTTTTCGGCATGATGAGATACTATGCAAAAGACTTTTTCTTCTTTCCCAACAGAAGCAGTTCAGGTTATTTTAATCTCATGAGCAATAGAATCCATCAGGGTGTGCACTATTACTCTCATCTCCACCCCGAGTTGTTAGAGGCCCCTGCATTGCCACGTGCCTATCAGCACACCAGAGTTATGCAGATTCTGCATCATAATAGCCCAGCGCCAATTCAAATTGCCCAAGCTCTAAGTACAGGGATGTGTAACCAGGATGCAGGAAACCTCTTCTTAAATAACTTGTCAACATGATAGATGATAATTGAAGTTGCCAAGTGCAGCCTAATAGGGTTGGAGTCTTGGGTTTCCTCTGGTTCTTGCACAACAGCCATGGGAAGAATGGCAAGGCAGTGAGTAATGTCACAAAGGTCTGCTCACTGTTCACTGCTGCCTTCCTTGCACCTTGCCCTGCAGCAGCTGAAGTGCTGCATGGCCTAGACTGAAGCGATCTTCAGTGTGGACTTCTCTGAAGCTGGTAATTTCCTTGTCAGTTGGGCACCTAAAGGCTGCTAAGCACATGGTAGGATTGGCTGTGTGTTCCTGCTGCCTCCCAGAAGGGCATTCAGTTCTGACCTTGCCCTTGAGGTTGCTGTGAGCATAAAAATACTAACAAAGGTAAAAATTACTTTATGTACCAGGAACTTCTGTGCCACCTGAGTGGTTTGGTGGACCAGATATCATTCTTGGGACTGCAGGCTTGATCCAGAGTTCTTGTATACTAAAACACCCTGAGGGTCTCCATGCACAACGGTTAGCACCCTTGAATAGTTTACGGAGGGTGGGGTCAAGGAGAATCTTTGTTTTTACTTATGTATTATCTTTCTCCTCCTGGCATTTCAATACAGTATATTCAATAGCTACTTAGAGCTTTCTTTCCTGATGTATCCAGAAGAGAGTAGTATTTAGCATTGTACTTCCTTTCACATGGCTAACAGTTGGCTTTTAGAAGTGGCTTTAAGATGACAACAGTTTGTGGGTGACAGCCTTAATCTTCAGCAAGAAGCTGCAGATTTTTAACAGAGAAGCTTTTTTTCCTCTGAATCACTTTGTAAGTAAATGAATAGAATTAGTGACTCCCATGCTTCAAAGACCTGCCACTTAAGATCTGGGATGCCTAACACGTTCTCCAAAATCAACCACAACTGGGAATCAAGGTGCATGCCAATATATAAATAATACAGCAACAGTCTATGAGCAATCATAGGTGTGGCTTCTATGTGTGATTCAGAAAAAAAAAAAGAGCTGTGTGGATGAAAATAGGCATTTGGGCGGGGATTATGCAAGCCCTGAGTGACAATGCAGGATGGGTGGTGGTAGCCTGTCTTTCAGTTTATACAAATGCTAATCACAAACTCAGCAGCCAGAGATCTCTGCAGTTGTGTTCAACAAATATTAATAAGTATAATTAAACAACATATGCTAGATCTTTCAGTGCCAAGGAACTATGAGAAACTGAAACTTACCATGTTTTCTGTTTTATGTTAATATAACTTTGAAAAACAACTTGCATTAATCTAGTTGAAGAAGAGAAAGAAGAAGAAAAAAGAATAAAAGGGGGAGAAAAGGCTCTCTGCAGGGGCGCACAACATAAACGCAATGGATCAGTTAACTGATAGATAAAATGATATATCTTGTTACTTCTGTGTCAGATTTTCTTCTTGCAAGTAATCTAGGGAGCATGTGCTCAGCAGATAGAGCTTGTAATACTGTTAAAAGTGGTTACAGGCGCCACTGTTTCTAATGATGGTTTAGAAAGGTGGGAATTTCACCATGATTGAATTGATCATCATCTTAACCATGGATTCCTGGCAGTGCAATCTTGATGAGAGTTCCGTAGTTTCAGTACGGTAGGAATTGTGCCTATTGCAGTGTGGGAATGAATGGGAAACTAATAGTAACACATAGAAAGGATCGGTAATTTTAAACTGTTGCAGAATTTAATTAAATTGTCAATCAGCATGTCCCTAAATCAGGTTTACTTTCTGTTTTAATTTTGCTTTATGATGCAAGAGAAACTGATGATCAAGTATTTTAAAATGTCCTCCCATTATAGCTGTGTGTTATTTCTTGGGTATTCCCAGACAAAATCTGTTTAAGAGCAGATTAACATGGTGAAGAAGTTAAATAAGAGCATGTTTATCATCTTATTTTTTCCCCAGCTCACCAGGTGCCAGCACAATCTCTACCTTTCAGCAACATGCATGTTGAGGAAAGTCATTATTTTCATCCACGCGTTATTTCCCCAAGTTCCTAGCTAGGCTCAACTCATCTCACCTGATTTGCTGGCCTGCAACCCTCAAAGCATTGGGGTGTATTTACAACATTTAGTCTGCAATGCAGCACTGAGAAGCCCCTCTCTTATAGCACAGGTGTGACAGGAGGCACCGCTGGTTTCTGGGCAAAACCTCTGTGCGCGGTTCCCTTGGTTTCCGGGCGAGGAGAGGCGCTGTCCCCCTTGACTTGGGTGCGGGTCTCATCTCGAGCCCCGAGAGGGCAGGCGAGGAGGCCAGCGCCGCGCGCAGCTCCCTTCTCCGCGCGGGGAGCAGCCTGTCCCGCGTATTCTCTGTCTTAACGCAAACTTCTGGACTCTTCACACTCCAGCTTATCAAGTCAGAACTCCTTTGAAGTCTGATTATTCCAGCCAAATCTATTTGGCAAGGGGGCTGCCTCCTGAGAGTCAGCGCGCAGGCCCTGCCCAGGTGAGCCCAAGCTCTAAATATTCAAACATGTGATCAGACTGTTGCGAGAGCGTGTTGCGTCCTGACAAGTCTTATCACATGTCAGGGGATGAACAGAGAAACGTCTTCTGGCCAGAACTTGCAAAGCTGCCCCCACGACTCTAGAGCTTAATTTACTCACTTGAAAAACTGAAGACAGCCTTTGAATCACCTGAACTTCATTCCCCAGAGCCCAGGAATCCCCCATTGCCTGGGAATATGCAGAGAGGCTTCCACTTCTCTTTGCCAGTGCTTGTCCCCCTCCTTCCCATGTCACCAAGTGAAAACTGTTCTGTTGTGGTCTTCAAGGAAACCTTGAAACCTTCTTACTTGTGTTGTTCTTTAAGGACAAATGGCAAAGAATCATAGAATCATAGAATGCTTAAGGTTGGAAGGGACCTCTAGAGGTCATCTAGTCCAACCCCCTGCACACGCAATACGTTACCTACCATGCTACTGGAGACTTCAGAAATGACAAAGGTTATTATTCCTGATGGACCACAGAGCCTCACCAGACACTTTATTGCCCGCATAAAACTATATGCCCCAAAATACCAAATACTTTAGTAAAGAGAAATTAAAATTAATCTGTTAAATATGAATGATCAAACGCATACACAGAAATCTTAATTTTAATTACATGGAAACTGAATTCCACATTTGTTTCACATTTAACATTTTTTCACTTTAAATTTCCCAGTAAATGCAAATACATAACTGTATACATTACCTGATAAAGCAAAAAAAACAAAACAACAACCAAATTGTAACATAAATAGCATACTTTAACTTTATTAAACTCAAGACATGACAATATTCAAAATACAAAGTGAATTATTTTTAATCAATACTGTACACAATGCAGAAATCAGTGCATTTCTAGAGCATGTATTTCACCTTCATTTAGTTTGTACTAACACAAATAAAAATTAAGCTTTAAAATAGCTCAAATATCTCATTCAGCAGTTTAAACTGTAAACAGCTTGTTTATATATGTTAGGAGGAACGTATTTAACTTTTGTACCTCCGTTAACGAGCACCTTTTCTCTTGTGCTTATCTGTAAGAGGATAAAAGTAATCAAAATGAGCATGAGAAACTCCTAATGCACAAATCTGGCACCTCTGTGAGTTTTAGTGGATCACTGAGGCAGAAGGAGAAGAATTAAAAAAGAAAAAAACACAGGAAGAAGCAGCATCTGAAGCAGATGGGACTGACACTGTTCAGAAATGGAATTATGTTTTTTCATACCTTCCTCTTCCCCTAAAATACTGAAAAGAAACCAAAACACAAGACCAGCTTGTGTTGTGTTTCTGATTTTCGATACAGTCAGAATTTCAGACATTAGATGAATATATAGTTGTTACAGGCTATTTACTAGCAACTATAATAAATGCCTCTGCCAGTTTTAGGACACATTCACCCCTTTCTAGAACCCATCAGGAAAAGAGTAACAGAGGCTTAGCAGGAACTGTTCCAAATCTCTCCTAAGAGAAATGGCAAAAATGAGGCAAGTGTCTCTAATGATTGAAAAAATCCACAAAGCCTAAATCTGTTTTAAGCTACAAAGAAATCTACTAGTATCAAATTGAAGTGTCAGACTAATCGGTCTAAATGCTTTTTCACTATGCTTGTCAAGTCTCAAAGTGGGTATTTGATTCGGAAGTTCCCTTCTAACCAGGTTGGTATATCCTAGGAAAGAGCAGTCTTGTTCTCAGCAGTGTTACGATCCGTAAGAAATTCCAGAAATGCCCGATATGAAAACTGTACTGCAATATCTGCTCCATCAGTTTTACATGTGACTCATAAGCAAAGTTAGGTTTTCTTTTTTCTTTTCTTTGATAATATGACTACCACGTATGTTAACCTAGTGTAACACATAACTGGCCAACTCGTACTACTACCCGTCGATATGCTTCTATGAAATCTCTGTAGGTTTTCAATTTTACAGACCAAGCTGAGAAAACCAGTCTTCAGAAACATATCAGAGATATGCAGCATTATAGGATTTTACCATCCACTTTCCTATTCCCAGAGGACAAACTGGTCCTACTTCATGATTTGAGAACCTCAAGAACATTGTAACGTGGTAAAGTTCAGCTCTATTCAGAACAACTGAGCTCAGATATGTTCCCAGAGGCTATGGAGAAACTACGTAAGACAGATGTTTTCGTTTCAGATGACCAGCTATGTCCATTCTAGTTTTTGAGTCCAATTTTGTTGGGGTTGATGTGGCTGTGCCTTCACCAGACCAGGACTGTACCTCTGAATTACAGGTAGTTTCTTCCGCTTCCCTGAAGAACTTCTCATACTTGTCCAGATATGGAGGCCTTTCAGGCAGCAGATAGTAGTGTGTTGAACTGGCCTTCTTGCCATTTTCAATAATGGGAAGAATACAAGGGATCTTGTTGGCAGATCCTTCGCTATTTTGCCTCTGTAGAGCTTTGCTGCTGACATATTTAGGATCGGGTGCAAAACTCTGGGTGGGAGGCATAATCCCATTGAGGTATGAGGGCAGACTTTTAGGACTTGGTGTCCGGGAATTGCTGTGGGAGAAAGGTTCCCTCGGAGGCACTTTGGGAGGCCTGTCTTCATCGCTGTATGCGCTAGAAGCAACCTCTGCTGACCACCTTCTGTAATCTGGTTTGAGAGCCCTTGGAGGTATGGGAACCCGTGGTGGAATCTCTGGTTTCTCTTCATCCGAATTTGGAGAAGACCTGTTTAAGTGCCCAGATAGTCTCACTACTGGTTTACTGAGTGATCCAGCAGGTCCCGAATGGGATCTTCGCAAACGTCGATGCAGCTGTTGTGGAGGAGGATAAATACCAGATATGTAACCATTTAGACTTTGTACAGGGTTGGTGCCTTCTGGTTTGGGTCCTGCTGGAGCATCAAAATATGCATAATTGATTTGTCCACAACCTCTAAAGCTCCGCCTGCCCGCAGCATTGGATTTAAAAGGAGGAAGCTCATAATCTCCTAATAAAAAGTCAGTGTCTGAGCTGGTCAGGAATTCCACTTCTTTATCAACCTCGTCTAAAGAAGGATCCTCAGAAATAGGCAGTGGGGGTAATGGCCTGGAGCTGCGGTCATTGGAAGATGAAGGCAGAAAATGAATTGGCCCATGTTTTATTGGCATGTGAGGAGGCGTTTCCTCAGAAACATGGCCCAAAGTTAATGACAGTTTACTAACGCCATGAACAAGATGGTCTTCGTATCTTGAAACTGGCTGTTCATTGTTGGGACTTACAGGAGCTGGACAGGATTTCTGAGACGGGGTTTGGATACAACTTTCAGCAAAGCTGTGGTCATTCATGGAAACATGGTCTGAAGAGTGCCCTAAAAAGGTAAGAAAGTCACTGCTAAGCAACATTCCACCACATGACTTTGCCATTATGTAGTTAACTAAATTCTTCTAATGCAACAGTAAATAATGTCTGCTTAATGATTTCAGAAGCAAATCTTAACTGCAAGACTCAATAGAGCTGTAACGGGCATGTGCTTAGTTAGGAGAGCAGATGATTGTTATCATTTTAGCACGGTTCTTCAGTTAAATGGTGTAGTTTGAGGCCTCACACATAAGCAAGAGAACAGAGCTGCAGTTACATGAATTCTACTGGACTATGAACAAAGAAAGAGTTATTTTCCTAAAGGGCTTTTTGTCATGAGCATAATAGCAACTCAGAGGCTTGTAAATACAAAGAAAAGTTGTTCTTGATTACACATCTGAAACAATCTTCATTTTTTTTAAAAAGTGGTATTTTCTTGAAAAGAAATGTTTGCATTCTGTCACCAGAGGGCAGCCTTATATCCAAAATGAGATAGTGTCTTAGTGAAGACTTTGAGGAGTCTTTCTTCTCAGACAAGCATTAGAGCTTTATGTTTTAAAATCTTCATTATACTTACCGCTGGATGGTAAATGTTGCTCTGCTGATGGATTCAAATTATATGCCACAGCTATAGGGTCCACATTAAAGAAAGTACTAAAAATAAAACAAACAAAAACTGTAAATGAACCATAGATTACTACTGGTAAGCGTATTCTTAACCTTCATCTTACACTTGAAAATGCAATAGATAAGTTTAGTCTTCACTTACTTTTCAAATCCACTGTGGCTATCCCAACAGGTTTTCAGATTCCCCATGCCTTGGCTAGTGTGAAGAAACCCAGTTTTTAATGGGACTCTCATCTCTTGTGCCGCAACTCCTGCAGTTGACATTGTGTATTGCTCTAGTGGTGATTTCTCCCAGCCTCAGAAATTCAGGCTTCCTGCAGCTTGCCTTCCCTACAAAAGAAGAGAAGGGCACAAATATCAAAAAATGCAAACATGCTGTCATATAAAATTACAGTAGTTCAAGGAAGGAACTAAATAACTCTGTTATAACAAGGCTTTCTGTCCCGACACTTGACAATAGCAAAATTTTAACAAATCTGTTTTGTCATTGATTATAAAACTGAAATATAAGTTTAAATATGTTGCTGTGTCAAATTGAGACAAGTATGCTCTATAACTCTAGTGATACACAGGAACTGACAAATTCAATTCTTGGGCATAAACTGCCGATTATTCAGGCAAATGTTTTGCCAGAGCAAACTGTCTTTAATGTCTTTAATTCTGTAGTAGACAAATCTCTTTTTGCCAATGAATTTATGATATGCAATGCAGCCAACATAAAATAGCCTAAAATTTTTTAAAGTACCATCTTAAATAGGCTAAAAAATCTCTGTTCTTGAAAGAACAGCTGTAATAAAAATACTGCTTTGATCAGAAGTAACAGGATTACAGAGAGCAGTTTTATGTAAAGCAGTCACTATTATCAATAAGCTTACACATAAAGATACTTAAAATCATCCTCAAATCTTCATTTATTTACTTCAAGCAAATCTACCCTCCCCCCCCCCAAAAAAAAAGCTTGCATCTCAAAATGCTCTTAAATTGTCTCTATTTGAACGTGCAAACAATGATTTATCTCATCCATTTACTCTAAGAATGTGCTGACAATTGCTTTAAATTCAACAAGCAGTCATAGTTTAAGGAAAAAGTTGATTCACAGAAGCTTTTGGGGCAATTCAGAATACATTATTTCTGAAAAATCTGTGTAAAAGCAAACAATATTCTGCTGGAGGAAAAAGAAACAAAGCCCAAGACTAACCAAGTATTTTCTCTGGGTCTGTGCTTCAACTATTTACACAAATACCCTCCATTCAGCAGGTACAATATGGTGTTATTTGGCAGCTCCCCCCAGTTAATTAGCATCTTTCTTGAGAATCAAGAATATGACTGGTTTCTAATGCAAAATTCCTTCCAAAGAAAAATTTCACCTAAAGAAAGGGCAAACAACTGGACATGAGTTGCATCAACAAACTATACACATCAACAACCCTCCTTGACAGTGTGGTACTGCCTTGTACAGAAACAAGTAATAGCTTCTGCTTAACATAATTCTGTTTAAAAACAGAAGAATTAGCTAATTCTTCTAAGCAGAATATATCTAATCTTTAATTTGAAACCTAACACTAACATTTGCCTTTTATAAGCAGGCAAATGTTTAAGCAAGAATGTCTCTGCTATGCTCTTCCAATGTTGAATTTCGTCCAGTATTGATCTTCTGAACAAATAACACCTGCAAAACAGCTTCTGACTCTACCTATGCCTATCCGTTACAAAACTTAATCACCTTCTCTTTAGGAGTATTAGCATTGCTCCAAGTGAACAAGAGCCAGCCTAACATTCTTTCTATTGCGCTACAGCAGAGTCTTAACCACATTGATTTCAGTTCTCTGAAATCTTTTAGCAAAGAGTATTTATTTCCTTTTAAGACAAAAATCTTAAACTCGCCTAAACTAGATATTTTCATCACACAGTCAGACCCTTCCCAGTAATAGGAATTAAGACTTTCAAAGTAAAATTAAATAAAAGGCATTGCTATAATAGTAGTACCAATTCTAAAATATGTTTGGACTGTGTTAAAACAATTGCCAATAGAATTGTTGCTGATCATATGAGTTAACGCTATATAGAGCGGTGATGTTTGTGCCTCGCAGATCTCTGAATGTCCCTGGACTATTGGTAATGAATCTGCGAAAGAAATGCTGAATTACTGCACTTGGTGACTTGGAAAGGGTCTGCATTTATATTTCAGATTTTTTTTTTTTAGTTTTACTCAAGTCAGAAGTTGAAAAACAGAACACTGATGAGTCAGCAAATTCTAGCGCTCCACCTCACCCATATACAAGATGTGTCAAGACTGTAAGGGAGAGCGGCACTGATTATGATTTATAAATAAATGAGACAGGAAGAGGGGTGGCACTGCTGTCAGTTGAGAGCACATGTCATGCACTTGGTATGACAGCAGACAACCCTTGCAGGGTTCGTTAACAGACCCATCCTCCAGCAGTTCCCCCATCAAAACCACTGCTAGAAATTACTGCGTCAACCTCCTGAACACTGTCTAAATTCCAGGTTTCAGAGTGACAGTTGCACAATGGTCTCTCTGAAATCCTTCTAGACTGCTAGGCTTGATTTCTGAAAGGGGCCTAAATATTTACAAATTCTAGGAAAATATAATTTTAGCCTGTTTCAATCAACTCTAATTCTAAAAATAAAATAAAGAAAACTTTATAGCCATAAAACTTGCTTGCTTCTAGCAATGATCCTTTTGTGAAGTCCCAGACAGTGACTTGCCTTGCTGTTTCAATGGGGACTTGTGAACAGACTGACTCATGGAACCGATCCCCATGCTAGAAGCTCAAAGTGTGAAGAGAGGACACTAGCTATACAGTCAACTGCATGTTTTCCTTCACTGAGTCACCTGGTTACTTTTTCAGTTGTAAGTCCAGAGAGTTGGTGTTTATGTTTGAAAATATGCATACACTTCTTTGAACAAAGAAAAAATAAGTGTAGCCACAAGATATGTAACTGAGGAGTATGAAGTCTGAACTTTATACAGGGTTGTCTTTCTTAAGGTGAGCATTACATATGTATTTCAGGATGCTGCTGTTCTCTATTAACCAGTAATAAAAGAGCAATTTATGTAAGTCTGTCATGAGAACATAAACCCAATAGTTTCCATCTTAACTGTTGGTCTAAATGGGCCTCCTTCATGACTTAAGGATCTAAACTTATAAATAAACCCAAACCACATCTGCTAAAGAATATGAACACCATGCAATAAGGTGGCACGTTGAACCCCTCATGCTTTTTTTCCACTGATTTGCAGCAGTTACTTATAATGGGTTCCCTAGCTGCCCTGCCTGTCTGGGCTACCTACGCACGGATCGTCGCACTTGGAAGCACTCAGAACGCTTCCTAAGGATGTTACAGGTTCAGTATTATTCAAAAGAATCCGCGTTGAAACAAAATAAAACTATAGCTACTAATTACTACAGTTATTAAGCTTAAAGCCAAAGCAATTCAAAGGCTTGAGGGTGCATTGGAAAGCTACCGAAGCTCTGTGCTGTAAAGGAAGGTAACTCTGCAAAGGAGAGATTTTTTTCAGCATTCATGACTGCCTTATATTAACAATTAAATTACTTATTTCAAATGGAGAATGATTTTTAGATGGCCAAATGTACCTTCAGACCTGATTATATCATAAAAATGTCAAGAAGAAAATTTTGGAATTTTTATATGAAACTTCCCAAATATATAGCTTTCATACTGAATTATAATTAAATACATATGTTACAGCAACAGTAATCCCCTGTATAGAAACTAAGAAGCACCTGCATCTCTTAGCTCACTGTCATCACAGATAAACTGGTTAATCTGCATTGTTCTTTTTCCCTGGACAGTATTAGGTATTTGAGGCAAATCAGTTCCATTAATATAGGAGATTTCTCTGGTATGCACAACAGACCAAATCATTATCTTAGAATGTTTCACTTAATGGATATATGCAATTTCCTGTGAAGATTTTTTTGAAAGCCTGTTTAAAATTTGAACGTGTTTTATAAAGGCAACACTCTTCACATGGCAGGTGATATACTGCTTGTAAGAAATTAGAGGGGGGAAAAAAAGGAAAATGGAAAAAAAAAACCCAAAACCTACTTATCACTTTTGTAGAAACTGTGGCTACCTTAAATCCACAACTTATTTTTGCTCACCTTGCCAGCACATATCTTTAACAAATCTGAGAAACAATTCAAAGGAGGAGGGGCACATTTTTGTACTACAAGTCATCCACCCCAGCTAGCTGTTCCTTATTTGACAATGTGATGTCATTTCCTCTTTTTTTTTTTTTAAGGATGACTTTGTTTAATATAAGTACCAGGGAGATGAGCCACCATCTTTCGAAGTTAAGCATTTCAGACTTCTAACTGCACTTTAAAAAGGTGAAATGATCTTGGTATACTTGGTGAACTCCCTGGTTTTCTGAGGATCAATAGTTCCCCTAAGTTAGCTTAAATCTGTTATTTTTATAAAGAATCATAAACTCACAGAACGGTTGAGGTTGGAAGGGACCTCCAGAGACCATCATTTACTCAGCACCAGAGTTCCACGGTACAATACACTACTGTTCAGAGTCACAAGCTAAAGCACACTCAGTTGCAGGTCCCAGAATATATATATATATATTTCCATTATAGCAGTAATTCTTTAGGGTACAAGGCATGCTCTTACAGCTTTGAGAGATCTGTTTATACACACACTGCCAGCCAGAAATGAACTGGACTCTGATGCAGAAAATGTAGAATAATCACTTAGTGCAGGCAAGAAAAAAAAAAAGGTACTCAAATTATAAGAGACTGCACATAAGGTAAACTCTGTAGATACACCCCAAAATATGATTGGCAGGGCAAACAATGTATCAACATTATAGGACAGGTATTTAGGAAGATGATGAAAGAGCTGCAGTTCACCAAAGTGTTAAGCTTGGTTAAAATCTAGGCTACCATTTTCGTGGCCCTGCACAGCACCTGGGAGGGACCTGTAACTTGCCAGTAGAAAACTAATAATTAAATAGCGAGACAATTGCCTTGCCTCTGCTTGTCAAATTTCAGAGGCATATTTAAGGCATGGTACTTTACCCTCCTGAAAATTTTCATGTGAATATAGCCAGCTTACATTTGGGAAATACAAATGCCTTTACAGCTGACTCAGTCATAACCACAATGTTAGACTTATCGTAAGTCTAGGTTTTAATTTGTGTTCCAGTATAGAGAAGTACAACCCTTTTCCTCTAAAATAATCCCTGAACATGTGCCCACAGAAAGGCAGTAACCAGTTCTTCAAAAGTCTTACCAGAAACTCACCGAGGAA